CTCGGCTTCGCGACGCGCACCACCTCCCCCACTCCCCCCCCCGCGTCTCCACCGCCCCAGTTGGAGATCCACTCCGTGTCCCCTCCGGCCCGACAAGGTTCCCCGCCACGACGCCAACGTAGACGGCAGCACACCTTCGCTTTTCCAGGCAAGAACGTCAGCGCCCAGACCAGCACAGACGTCAGCCCCCACGCCAAGCCGAGCGCCTACACCAACGCCGTTCCAAATGTCCTCTCCGCTTGTACCTACGCCGACATCTTCACCAGCACCGACGCCAGCTGGAACGCTCTCGCCTACGCAGGCACCAACGCCAGCACCTACAGCAACGCCGACAACAGCCCCTCCGCCAGACGCCGGCGCCTACGCCGGCACCAGCACCAGCACCAGCACCAGCGCCGTTCCAAAGTTCCCCGCCAGCTGAGCTTGTTCGTAACAGCACAACACGTGCCAACAAATCCTGCCGCCCACCGACAAAGTTTCGGCCGCGGCCGTAGCCATTTTGGCTCTAGTCGCGACAGCACCTTCTTCCGTTCCGTCTGAGAGAATTGTTGCGGCCGGCACCGCGGCTCGCTGGGGGGGGCCTGGCCGCGCGCGATGGCACCCTCGCCTGGGCCAACTTGCATGCCTGCCGACTTGCCGCGTCGCCGCTCGGGGGAAGCAGCGGCGGCGCGGCGAGAGGGGAGGCGACGCGCACGCAAGGCGAGCACAGGAGCAGCGCCTCAGGGGGAGGCACGCGAGGCAGCGCCGCAAAGGAAGGAGGGAGGCAGAGGAGGCGGCGGGGGCACCCGCACAGGCGGACGCCGCCAGGAGAGGGGAGGAAGAGGAGAAGGCGGGAGCAACCGCACAGGCGGACCCCGCCAGGAGAGGAGCGGCACTGCGGAGCTCCCGCCTGACCCCGGCCCTCCACCAGGCCTGTGGGAGGTAGTGGGCGGGCGTCGCTGCTCTTCGGAGGCCCACCCGAGGAAGAGCAGCCAGCTCATGCAGGGGCCCACTTTGATCAGGGGTGAGATGTTCGGGCCCCTCCGTTTTCGGCGGGCCGCCGAAGCAGAGGCAGAGGAAGAGCAGGACCAGCAACACCAAGGACAACACACGCACACCAAGCGGCATCGCAACGACCACAACCACGACAACTGGAAACAGCATCGAGACCACGACGCGCAGGGTGTCACGCGTACAGGGTGCACCCACGGCCTTCGCCAAGAGGGGCCACTCGAGGCAAGGGAAGCTGGGCAGGCGCCGTGCCGGGCAGCTTTCGCTCGCAAAGGCTTTCGACGGGCTCGCCGACGAGCCGCGAGACAAGACCTAGAGGACGCGATCGCCGAGCACATCGCGATCATGAAGCAGGCGACGGCCTTTCACCGCCGGCGCGCGTTCTTGACAGAGAGGTTTGGCAGAAGGTTTGTCGCCACCCGAAGAGCGCAAGAGGCGGCCAAGGGTCAGGCGCCGCGCGACGAGGACCAGCTGCCGCAGCAACGCCCCGACCAGAGCAACTTGTCTCTGCACCCTGGGCGGCCGCGTTACGGTCAGGCCCCGCGCCGACCGCACAAGCAAACCGAGGCTGACAAGGAGATGGCGCGGGCGGGGCTACTTGGGGAGCACGCTTGCTTTGGCCCGGCGCCACGCGCACCACCGCAAGCGCACCCACCAGCACCACAACGAGCAACAAACAACTTCACAACAAGCACCACCACAAGCACCGCGCCAAGCACACCGCCTCAAGCGCACCCACCACCACAACAAGCACCCACCACCACAGCTAGCGCCCTGGAGGGGGGTGGGTACTCCCAGCTCCGGCGCCCGCACCGGCGACAGGACGCTGACCGAGAGATGGCGCGGGCGGGTGTCGGCGAAGTCGCGCCGCTCATAACCAGAGCGCACATCCGCCACGGGCGCACCGAGAGCAGGCAGCACCGCAGCGACAAGAGCGACGGCAGCCAGCACCAAGAGCAGCAGCACAACGACTACGACCAGCAGCACCACCACGACGTCAAGCATCGACAGCAGCAGCACCACCACCACGACAACCAGCACCAGCGGCAGCAACGCCACCGCGACGAGCGGTTGCAGCACCGCGACGACCAGCAGCAGCAGCACCACCACCACGACCACCAGCACCAGCAGCAGCACCGCAACCACCACGACGAAACCCTGCACCACCACCGCCACCACCACGAGGACAACCGGCACCAGCGGCAACACCGTCACCACGACCAGCTGCAGCAGCACCACCGCGACGACCAGCATCAGCAGCAGCAGCAGCAGCAGCAGCAGCAGCAGCAGCAGCAGCAGCAGCAGCAGCAGCAGCAGCACAACCACCACCACGACGACCAGCAGCAGCAGCAGCAGCAGCAGCAGCAGCAGCAGCAGCAGCAGCAGCAGCAGCAGCAGCAGCAGCAGCAGCAGCAGCACCGCAACCACCACGATGACACCCTGCACCACCACCGCCACCACCGCGACCACGGACGGCAGCCCCTTCACAGCAGCAGCAGCAGCAGCAGCAGCAGCAGCAGCAGCAGCAGCAGCAGCAGCAGCAGCAGCAGCAGCAGCAGCAGCAGCGGCAGCAACGGCAGCAGCAGGCACCGCGGCAGAGGCCAGGACGACAGCAGCCAGCAGGCCCCCCCGCCACCCCAGACGGCCATTCCAGCCGTCTGGCCGCCAGCCCTCCAGCCCCTTCCGAGGGAGGGGGCTGGCGTCAGCTGCAGCCCGTGCCCCCCAGGGGAAGAGCCCCATTCCCACGGTAGGACTCCCTTGGGGCCAGTTCCCCATCGGGGTTCGCGCGGCTCCGCTGCGGTCCCCGGTGGCGCCCCGGCTTGTGCAGCAAGCCCACAGGAACAACGCGACAACATGTTCGACCACAAGAGGCGGCACGACTCCCAACAGTGGCGCCGCGAGCAGCAGCACAACGACGACGACAAGCAGCAACATCAGCAGCAACACCACCACGACAACCATCACCAGCGGCAGCGTCGCCACCGTGACCAGCTGCAGCGGCACCACCACGACGACCAGCAGCAGCAGCAGCAGCAGCAGCAGCAGCAGCAGCAGCAGCAGCAGCAGCAGCAGCAGCAGCAGCAGCACCACCACCACCACCACCACCACCACCACCACCACCACCACCACCACCACCACCACGACCAGCAGCAGCAGCAGCAGCAGCAGCAGCAGCAGCAGCAACAACAGCAGCACCAGCACCAGCAGCATGGCAACCACCACAACGACCAGCACCACAGCGACCAACAACAACGACCAGCAACACAGTATGCACCAAACGAGCAGCGCCACAGCACGCACCCAACGACCAGCACCACCACAGCACCACAACACGCAGCCAACGACTGCGGACGGCAGCCCCCTGGCAGCAGCAGCAGCAGCAGCAGCAGCAAAAGCAGCAGCAAAAGCAGCAGAAGCGGCAGCCAGCAGGGCCCTCCACCACCCCAGACGGCCATTCCAGCCGTCTGGCCGCCAGCCCTCCAGCCCCTTTCGAGGGAGGGGGCTGGCGTCAGCTGCAGCCCGTGCCCCCCAGGGGGAGAGCCCCATTCCCACGGTAGGACTCCCCTGGGGCCAGTTCCCCATCGGGGTTCGCGCGACTCCGCTGCGGTCCCCGGTGGCGCTCCGGCTTGTGCAGCAAGCCCACAGGAGCAACGCGACAACATGTTCGACAACAAGAAGCCGTACGACTCCCAACAGTGGCGCCACAAGCAGCAGCACAACGACGACGACGACCGAGAGATGGTGCGGGCGGGGGTCGGCGAGGGCGCGCCGCTCGTGACCAGAGCGAACTTTCGCCACGGGCGCCGCGAGAGCAGGCAGCACCGCAGCGACCAGAGCGACAGCAGCCAGCACCCAACTGCGGCCACAGGCGGAGGAAAACTACGACGGCGACCAAGACAGCAACGAGCAGCACCACGACGGCGACCAGCAGCACCAGCAGCACCGCCACAGCCACGACGGCGCAAAACAACGGCAGCAGCACTCCCGCCACGACAGCCACCAGCAGCACCACCGGCACCACGAGCACCACCCAGCGCTGCACTGACCCAGACTCCCGGATTGACTTGGAGATCCCAGGAAGAACATATTCTTGGAGGGACTCTGAAGTCTCAGGGGGAGGTTGAGGGAGGAGCGCGCGAGGGGAGGCAGTCCCGTGGCGACCAGAGCGACGGCAGCCAGCACACAGCCACGGCAGCAGGCGGCGGCCCCCAACGACCGCGCACACGACGAGAGCGACCACCGCGACAGCGACCAGCAGCAACACCAATGCCACCGCCACGACAGCGCCCAACAGCAACACCACGACAGCGACCGGCAGCGCCGCCACCAGCACCAGCACCAGCAGTGACACTGGCAGTACCACCTGTACCACGACAGGAGCTGCGCACACCAGGGAGGGACCAGCGAGACGCGCTGTACGGCTACCGCGGACAGCGCGTGGGTGAGGCGAGCCACCCAGGGCCACCGCACAACGACGCTGCCCCAGCCACGCCGCCGCGCGGACGCTCGCAAGCGGACCTGCCCGAGCCAGCAGGCGAGGTTTCGGGCGAATCCGCGCCCCGGCCGGCGGAAGCCGAAACTCCCCCTCGAGAGCTCTTCGGTTCGCCGGGCCGGTCTCTGTCGCCACTGCCTGCCGGACAGAGCCACTTCAGCGCCGTGTTCGGACAGGCGCCTGCGGCCGAATGGGACTTCTCTGGGCTGTTCGCGCCGCCGCGGGAGACAGCCGAACGCGCGGCGGCGGAGGAGCAGCAACAGCCGCAGCAACCACAGCAGGGGCCGGACCCCCAGGAGCCGGAGCAGCCAGAGGCCAGCGAGGTTTGCTACATGTGCCAGGAGTCGCTCGACGACTCGAGGGTGCAATGGCCCGACTGCGGCCACGTCCCCCGCTGCTTCCACGCAGCCTGCCTGGCCCGGTTTCGCCCTCTCCTCCGCGGACTCGCACACCTGCGGAACTCGGGCGGCGATTCCAGCCGGGTAGAGGACGCAGCGTGCCCGCTCTGCAACCGCAGGTGGGGCGACGGCCCGAACTCTGCCGCGCGGCTCGCGGAGCTGGCGGGCCACCTTGGGCGCGGCGGGGGGCTACCTTTCCGAGGGTGCCGCTGCCTGCCTTGCCGGGGAGTTGCAGGCAGACGCCCTTCCTGGCGCCGCCGACGGGCTGCAGAAGGTGAGGGCTTGGAAGCTCCTGGTCCTCATCTGGCGCATGCTGCTGCGACGGACCGCGAGCACTGGAGCGCCAGGGCGGCGAGAGCTCGAAGCGCTACTGGAGCAGTTCGAGGACGGCTCCTGGGAAGCGTTGCTGGCCCCAAGCCCGCAAGGGCAGCGGCCTCCGGGAGGAGCGCGCGGCGCTGGCGACGCCGAGGCGAGGCGCCAGCGCCTCCTGGAAGACGCGGTGGTGCTGGTCAGAGCAGGGGGCCTCGGCAAGGCGCGGCAGCTGCTCGCCTCGCGCGGGCTGGCGCCGGGCACGGCGGAGACTTTGGCAGAACTGCGGGACCCCGCCCGGCGACCGCCGAGGCCCGCCGCCGACTTGCCGCCTGCCGCCCGAGCCTTCCAGCCGGCTCGGCCCGTCGAGCTCGACCGCCGCATCTGGACCGACTGCGTCCGCTCCGCCCCGAAAGGGTCTTCCAGCTCGCTGAGCGGAGCCAGCTTTGAATTTCTCAAGCTGGCCTTGGACGAAGACGAGACGCTCGAGCTGCAAGCTGCCGTGGCGGAGCGCTACGCGCGGGCCGAGATCCCAGCGAGCGTTGCCCGCGCCCTGGGCACAGGCCGCATGGCGGCGCTGCTGAAGGACAACGGCCGCGCCCGAGGCATTGTTGCAGGCGGCGCCTTCCGCCGGCTCGTGGGCAAGGCCCTCTCCCGGCACTATGGGTCCGAGATGGACGACGCCTGCGCGCCGTTCCAGTACGCGCTTTCGACGAGAGCGGGCACAGACAGCGCCGCCCACTTCCTCCGAGCGGCCACGGACTCCGACCCCGCGGCGACCATCGTCAGCATCGACGGCATTGGGGCCTTCGGCCACGTGCGCCGCGACCGCATGATCGAGAAGCTCCTCTCGCTGCCGGAGGCTTCCGCCATGGTCCCCTTCGTCCTGCTCTCCTACGGCCAGCCGTCGACGTACCTCTGGACAGACGATGCAGGAGTCGCGCACGAGGTGAGGCAGGGAGAAGGCGGAGAGCAAGGCGACCCGCTCATGCCGGCACTGTACTCCCTGGCTCAGCATTGCGCCCTGGAGAGAGCCCGCGCGCAGCTTCAGCTGGGCGAGACGCTGATCGCCTACTTGGACGACGTCTACATTGTCTGCAGACCCGGGTGCGCCACAGAGGCTTTCCGCGTGGTTACCGCTGCCATGCGCGAGTGGGCAGGGATCGAGGCGAACCTCGGCAAGTGCCGCATGTGGAACCGGGGCGGCTTCGAACCAGCAGGGCATTTGTCGTTGGGGACAGACGTGTGGGTTGGCGGCGCCGGCACGCCTGAGGAGCACCGCGGCCTCAAGGTACTTGGCACGCCCCTGGGCACCGCGGCGTTCGCGGCCCGGCTGACGCAGCAGAGGGCGGACGAGGAGCGCAGCTTCCTACAAGAACTCCCCAACCTTCCAGACCTCCAGTGCGCTTGGGCGCTCCTGCTGTACTGCGCGGCGCCGAGGTGCAACCACGTCCTGCGCACGCTGCCTCCGACGCTGTCGCGGTCCCACGCCGAGGCCCACGACCGCGGGCTGCAGGAGGCGCTGCACGACCTCCTCGACCTCGACCCCGCGCCAGCTGAAGCAGAGAGGCTCTCCCGAGTGAGCTCGCTGCCGCTCGGCCTCGGAGGCCTTGGACTCAGGTCAGCCGCTCGCGCGGCCGAGTGCGCGTACTGGGCGTCTTGGGCGGACGCGCTCCCCATGTTGCGACAAAGAACCCCTACAGCAGCAACGGAGCTCGCCGCCACCCTCCTCGCCGGAACAGGCGCCGCAGCCTCGTGCCTCCAGGAAGCTGGGCGCGCGAGGGCTGCCGCCGCCCGCGACGGCTTTGCGACGTGCCCAACTTGGCAGGAGGTCTGGGACGGCGCGCGCCCTGAACAGACAGAGCCAGCTCCGGGCGAGTGGAAGCACGGATGGCAGTACCACGCCTCCGCAGCCCGAGAGCGGCGCTACAGGGAGGAGGTCGTTCTCCCGAGCCTCACAGACGACCAGCAGTGGATGCTCGACTCGCAGGGAGGCCGCTGCGGCGGACGGCACCTGGCCCTGATCCCCTCGACGCCAGAAAGCACGTTCACGCCTGAGCGCTTCTGGGCACTGCTCCAGAGACGGCCCCGCTTGCCGCTGGACGCCACGGCAAGCAGGTGCAACGGGCGCTCCTGCCAGGCCCACTTTTTTTTTTTTTTTGGGCCTCCGCTGCGGCGGCCACAGGCCGGACGCCCGCCGCGCGCCCTCGCCGCGCGCGCCCGGTCCGCGGACCCCCGCGGCGCCCCGGCTCACCCCCCCCCAGAGAGAAGTGGGCGAGGCGGAGCGCAGGGTGCCTCCGTCTAGGGTCGGGTCTTTCACCGCCCTTCGTAAGGCTCCCCTTGAGAAAGAAGAGAGCTCGCAGCCCACGCCGACCCACCCGCCCTAAGGCGCCCCTCGGCGACGGCGCCTGCCCTCGAATAGGAGGGCGGCCCCCCCAGCCAAATGGAGACGCTAGGGCGACGGCCCCGCGTGCGCGGCCAGCAGATAGAGAACAGGGCAAGAGAAGCAACAAGTGCAAGCAAAACAACAGGCACCACATGATGCAAACAGATGGATACAATGAGAGGACAACAAGCATGCAACATCGCACCGCTGCTCCCCTTCTCCGAGTGCATACCACGCAAGAGCGGCGACGAGACAAGGGACAACACAAAAACCAACGAGACGACGGAGAGGGCGACGACGACGACGACGACGACGACGACGACGACGACGACGACGACGACGACGACGACGACGACGAGACAACAGCCCCCTCGCAGGTCAGCCGAAATCTGCCTGACAGAGGCGGGCACTGGGCGACAGCCCCCCCCCCAGAGGTCAGACGGGAAGCGTGCTCCTCCAAACGGAAAGTCAGACCCAACGATCGCAAAGGGACGTCGTGGCATAGTTGCACTGCACACACACACACACACAAGCCGAGAAGCACACCCACACACATATGCCGAGAAGCATACAACAAGATAGAATGTGCGAGAGACGATACCGTCAAATCTAACGAGGTCATTGGGACCACAAAGGGCCGCATCACCACTGTGAGGCAGGAATAAGGACGTAACACGGGCCGCAGGGGCCGCAACACAACAGTGAGGCAGACACTTGCACGCAGTACGGGCCGCAGGGCCGCATCACGACAGTGAAGCAGGAACAACGCATGGACTTTTGCACGCAGCTGCACACCCTCACACACCTGCTGGGAAGCATACAACAAGATAGAATGTGCGATGGGACCACAACAGTAAGGCAGGATTTTGCACGCAGACCGGGCCGCAGGGGCCGCATCACCACTGTGAGGCAGAGAAAACGCAGAGGAGAAGCAGGACAGGCAAGCAGGCACGGTGGGAAGCGCGCGCACGCGGCGCGGGTAGCAGAGGATCCAAGCCGCATTTTGCCACCGCGCGCACGCGGACCACAGTCGACCTGCGCGCTCGCCCCCCCTGGGCGCAGGCCACGACGGTGCCGACCCACGCCTGGCACCCCCCTGCCCAAGCACCGGTCAGGGGCTCACGCCAGGCGCCCCGCAAACAGGCCGGTCAGGGGCTCACGCCAGGCGCCCCGCACTTGGACGAGAGAGGCGACCACAGAGCAGCTTGCCCCCGCAGCGGACGCCTGCTGAAGCGCGGCGCTCCCATCGAGCGGATGTGGGCCCGGGTGTGCCAGGAGGCAGGAGGCCGTGTCCGCGCCAACGTGTTCCTGCGCGACATGAACCTCCCGGGCATTGCCGCCAACGACGGGCGCCGCATCGAGGTGGTGGCCAACGGCCTCCCTGCCTACCACGGCAGGCAGCTCGCCATCGACGCCTGCATCGTGTCCCCGCTGAGGGCCACCGGCAGGCCGATTGCGCGGAGGCTCCGCCCAGGACTCGCGCTGAAACGGGCGAGGCGCCGCAAGCAAACGACTTGCCCTGAGCTGGTGGGCTCGCGGCGGGGCTACCTGCTCGTAGCCGGAGCAGAGACGGGCGGCCGCTGGGACGAGGAGGCGTACAAGCTCCTCGTTACCCTGGCCCGCGCCCGGGCGAGGAGCGCGCCGGCGGCGCTGCGAGGATCGCTTGCGACCGCGCTGCTGCACAGGTGGAGCGGCATGTTGGCGTACGCCATCCACGACGCCCTGGCCGCGAGCCTGCTCGAGGACGTGCCCTCTGAAACGCTAGCGACAGACGGGGAGAATCCCTGGCGAGGGGACGTTCTGTCGGCGCTCCCCTGAGAGCACCGGCCCCCGCGTGGGGGCGCGCACGGTCAGGGCGGGGCACAGCAGCTCGCAGGAACGCCGACAGCAGAGCTACTGAACAGCACCACAATCACCGCCACCACCACCAGCACAACTACGAACAGCACCTCCGCCAGCACGACGACGACCACGACGACCAGGAGGAGGAGGAGAAGGACCACCACGACCAGCACCACCGCGGCCAGCACCACCACGGCGACCAGCACTACGGCGACCAGCCCCACCACGGCGACCTGCACCACGACTACGCGCCACCACGGCGACCAGCACCACCACGCCCAGCACCACCACGACCAGGAGGACCACCACGACCAGCACCAACACGGCAACCACCACCACGACCAGCGCGACTACGGCCAGGAGGACCGCCACGACCACAACCACGACCGCGGCCAGCACGACTGCTGCCAGCACGACCAGCACCACCACCACCACGACCAGCACGACCACGGCCAGAGGACCACCACGACGACCACCACTACCAAGACCAGCACCACCACGACCACGGCCGGCACCACTACAGCGACCGGCACCACCACGGCGGCCAGCACCACCTCGACCAGCACCACCACGACCAGGAGGACCACCACGGCGACCAGCGCCACCACGGCGACCAGCACCACCACGGCGACCAGCACCACCACGACCAGCACCACCACGGCGACCGGCACCACCACAGCGACCAGCACCACCACGACCAGCACCACCACGACCAGGAGGACTACCACGACCAGCACCACCACGGCGACCAGCACCACCACGGCGACCGGCACCACCACAGCGACCAGCACCACCACGGCCAGCACCACCACGACCAGGAGGACCACCACGACCAGCACCACTACGGCGACCAGCACCACCACGGCGACCAGCACCACGATTACGCACCACCACAGCGACGAGCACCACCACCAGCACCACCACGACCAGGAGAACCACCACGACCAGCACCACGACCAGCACCACCACGGCGACCACCACCACGACCAGCGCGACCACGGCCAGGAGGACCACCACGACCACCACGACCGCTGCCAGCACGACCACGGCCAGCACGACCACGGCCAGCACGACCAGCACCACCACCACCACGACCAGCACGACCACGGCCAGAGGACAACCACGACGACCACCACTACCAAGACCAGCACCACCAGGACCACGGCCGGCACCACTACAGCGACCGGCATCACCACGGCGGCCAGCACCACCTCGACCGGCACCACCACGACCAGGAGGACCACCACGGCGACCAGCGCCACCGCGGCGACCAGCACCACCACGGCGACCAGCACCACCACGACCAGCACCACCACGGCGACCGGCACCACCACAGCGACCAGCACCACCACGGCCAGCACCACCACGACCAGGAGGACTACCACGACCAGCACCACCACGGCGACCAGCACCACCACGGCGACCAGCACCACCTTCACGACCAGCACCGCGACTACGCACCACCACGGCGACCAGCACCACCACGAGCAGCACCACCACGACCAGGAGGACCACCACGACCAGCACCAACACGGCGACCAGCACCACGACAAGCGCGACCACGGCCAGGAGGAGCACTACGACCACCACCACGACCAGCACCACGGCGACCACGACCACCACGACCACGGCCAGCACGACCAGCACCACCACCACCACGACCAGCGACCACGGCCAGAGGACCACTATGACCACCACCACCACGACCAGCACCACCACGCCCACGGCCAGCACCACCACGGCGACCGGCACCACCACGGCGACCAGCACCACCACGACCAGCACCACCACGACCAGGAGGACCACCACGGCGACCAGCACCACCACGGCGACCAGCATCACCACGGCGACCAGCACCACTGCGACCAGCACCACCACGACCAGGAGGGCTACCACGACCAGCACCACCACGGCGACCAGCACCACCATGACCAGCACCACCACGGCGACCAGCACCACGACTACGCACCACCACAGCGACCAGCACCACCACCAGCATCACCACGACCAGGAGAACCACCACGACCAGCACCACGACCAGCACCACCACGGCGACCACCACCACGACCAGCGCGACCACGGCCAGGAGGACCACCACGACCACCACGACCGGCACCACCACGACCAGCACGACCACGGCCAGCACGACCAGCACCACCACCACCACCACGACCAGCACGACCACGGCCAGAGGACCACTACCACTACCACCACGACCAGCACCACCACGCCCACGGCCAGCACCACCACGGCGATCAGCACCACCACAGCGACCAGCACCACCACGACCAGCCCCACGACCAGGAGGACCACCACGACCAGCACCACCACGGCGACCAGCACCACCACGGTGACCAGCACCACTACGACCAGCACCACCACGGCGACCAGCACCATCCGACCAGCACCACTACGACCAGCACCACCACGACCAGGAGGACCACCACGACCAGCACCACCACGGCGACCAGCACCACTACGGCGACCAGCACCACTACGACCCGCACCACCACGGCGACCAGCACCACCACGACCAGGAGGACCACCACGACCAGCACTACCACGGCGACCAGCACCATCACGGCGACCAGCACCACCACTGCGACGAGCACCACCACGACCAGCACCACCACGACCAGGAGGACCACCACGACCAGCACCACTACGGCGACCAGCACCACCACGGCGACCAGCACCACCACGACCAGCACCACCACGGCGACCAGCACCACCAGGACCAGGGGCAGCACGGCGACTAGCAGCACCACGACAGCAGCCAGCAGCACAGAGGAGGAGGAGGCGGCGGCGGCGGAGGCGGCGGAGGAGACGCTGGCGCTGGCCCGAGGCAGCGCGGCGGCGCGGAGGGCGAACGCACCGCCGCGAGGCGCAGCGCCGCCGCAGGTTCGCGCACGGGCAGAGGGGGGAGGATTCAGCCCTCCTAAGCCACAACCCTCTGCCCAGCGACCTGCGGCGGCGGGCGCGGCGACCAGCGGCGGCAGGACCGGCGGCGAGGCGCGGCGGCCTGCGGCCGACCTGCGGCAGGCGGCGACGGGCCAGGCGCCGCGGCGAAGCGCGGCGGCCCGCGGCGGCGCGGCCGCGCGGAGGCCGTAAGCTGCGCCGCCAGCGCCGCCCCGAGGGCGGCGGCGGCGGCACCGGCTGGCGGCGGCAGGCCCGGCGGCGCGGCGCTGCGACGAGCGGCTGGCCGGCGACTGGCGGCGACGGGCCGGGCGCCGCGGCACAAGGCGCCGGCTGGCGGCGGCGGCTGGCGGCGGCTGGCCGAGGGCGCCCCGGGCGCTCCTGGGGCGCCGAGGGGCTTGGGGCAGCTGAGCGGGAGGCCCCCGGCGGGGCGGCTAGCTGACGGGAGGTTCGGGGTTGCCCTGGCTTCGGCCGAAAACCCCCCGCTCCCTCGGCCCGCCCCGCACTCACCGTGGGCGCGCGGGGGGTCCGCACTGGCCGCGAGGGGGCGCGGCAGCCTTGGGGTAAGGAAGGGGAAAGGGGGGAAACAAAAACAAAAACAGCCTCCCTGCAGCCGTCCCGTCTGCTCAGACGCCTCGCGCGCCCTGCCATTCAAGTGCCCCGCCAGCCCGCGCCGAGGTCGAGGCCTACGACAGCACCAACGCCAACAATAGCCGTGCTCGGAGTCCGTGACATCAATGTTTTCGCCTGCGCGGGCACCAACGCCAGCGCCGACACCAGCGCCGACGCCTACGATGGGACCAACGATAGCATTTGCACCAGCGCCGCCTTTGGATTACGCCAACACCAACGCTTTCGCCCAAGTCGGCGCCGACGCCGGCGCGCGCGGACCAGCTAACAGGTGCCCGCTGGCGTTGGCACCAACGCTGGCCCCTCCGCCAGCGCCGACGCCGTCAAAGTCGTCAGCATCAATGCCAGCATCAACGCCTGCGCCCACGCAGGCACCAACGCCAGCGCTTTCGCCAATGACGACGTCAGCCCCGTTGCCATGGCAGCACCAACGCCGAGCATCGCCGCGCACCGAGTCCGTGATATTAACCTCTGCGCTTACGCCGGCGCAAACGCGAGCGCCTGCACCAGCACCGACGCGCGCGACGATACAGGACCAACGCCAGCGCCGACACCAGCGCCGACGTCAGTACGCGCTCAGTACGCGCCAGCACCAGCTCCTGCGCCTAAGTCGGCACCAAGGCCAGCGCGCCGGTGAGCTCACCGGTGCGCGCTGGCGCCGCGGCACCAACGGTGGCGCCTCCGTCAGCGCCGACGCCCTCGCAGACGTCAGCCTTAATGCCAGCATCAACGTTTGCGCCAGCGCCGGCCCTTTCGCCAGCGCCTACACCAGCGGCGACGTCAGCCCTGGCAACAGCACCAGCGCCGTCGCCTACGACAGAACCAGCGCCAAGCAGCGCCGCGCACCGAGTCCGCGACGCCAACTTGACGACGTCAACGTTTACGCCGGCGCCGGCACCAACGCCAGCGCCAACAACAGTACAGACGCCTGCGACTACACTGCGACCAACGCCAGCGCCTACATCATCGCCGACGTCAGTAGACGCCCGCATCGGCACCAACACTGGCGCACCGCTGAGCTGACCAGCTAACCTGTGCGCGCTGGCGCTAGCCTCAACGCTTGCGCTTTTGCTAGCACCGACGCCAGCACAGACGTCAGCCTTAATGCCAGCATCAACGTTTGCGCTGGCGCCGGCCTTTGCGCCAGCGCCTACAACCAGCGGCGACGACAGCTCTTGCAACAGCACCAACTCCGGCGCATATGACAGCACCAACGCGGAGCAGCGCCGCGCACCGAGTCCGTTACATCAACGTTTGCGTTTACGCCTGCACCGACAGCAGCGCCTACAACAGGACGGGCGCCTGCGACTACACGGCGACCACCGCCAGCCCCCTAGGGCCGACGTCAGCACGCGCCAGCACCAACGCTGACGTCCACGTCAGCACCAAGGCCAGCGCACTGGTGAGCGGACCCGCTAACCGGTGCGCCC